TCCCCGTCAGGAGCTCCCGGGGCTACGGCAGCGCCTCGCCGGCAGATCCCCCGCGGTGCCCAGTGCTGGCGGACGACGTGCCCGAGGGGTGGGCTCGGGGGCGCGAGCAGCCGGCGCTTGCGGATCTTCTGGCGCGAGTCTGGATGCAGCCCCGTCAGAAAGGAGTTTGTGGGGTGGGCTTGCTGGGGAGGCGCAGCGGAGCTCCCCGCCTTCTCCAGAGTCTTGTCTCCATCCAGGGTGTCACCGGGCTCTGCTTTGCCTTCGCAGTCATCCTCCTCCTCGCTCCGCTCCTCGGCACCGCCGCCGCTTCCCCGCTGGCTGCTGCTGTCCCCGTCAGCGCCGCTCTGCCTGCGCAGCCGGCGGAGCCCGAAGAGCACGAGCAGGGCTTCGGCGGGGGCCCAGAGCCACCAGTGCCGGCCGACAGCGAGGAGCACGCCTTCGACAGCGAGGCCGCCCTGCTCCTGGCTCCTCCGCGCCGTCTCCTCCAGCAGCCAGGTCATCTCCTGCCTCTCCTGCTCCTCACGCTGCCGCAGGAGCTCCTGCGTGGCCGTGTCTTCCCAGTCACCCGCTCTCAGCACGTACTGCACGACGCTCAGCAGGGTCAGGAGGCGGGTGATGCCCACAGCCATGGTCTGCAGGAGGAGGAGGAGGGAGAGAAGGGGCTCAGTGAGGCTGGCTGGGAGGGAGGTGGCGGCTGGGGCAGCAGGGGAGACCGTGACGGTGCCAGGGATGGGTGGGAGAGGGCCCAAGGGAGCTGGGAAGCACTAAGGGGGAGGGTGTTGAGCGCTGCAGGGACGGGGACGCCTCCCCACAGCCCCCGGGCACTGGCCGTGGCTGGCAGCCCCCCACAGCTCTGCGCCCAGCCCCGAGGGTGGCACCTGCCCTGCCCCAGGCGCTCCCCGCAGCGACTGCGCCTTCGCCCCGGCTGGAGAAACCCCCCTCGGGGGCCAGAGCTTCTGCCCCGGCCCTCATCCATCCCAGCCTTCCCCCTGCCGCCCTCACTCACCGCTGGCCCGAGCCGGACTGCAGCGTGTGCTGCCGCCTGGCACCCTGGTGACACCCCTGGGGACTTGTCCTCTGTGATGTCACAGGCACCAGAGCCCCAGGGGGACACCCTTGGGCCACGGCCGCTGCCCCCAGCTCTGCAGCCCCTGCAGCGGGCACAGCACAACCCCCTGGCAGGACAGAGCTCCCGGGGCCCCTCACCCCCCCCGGGCAGCAGCGGGGCAGCACCAGGGCGGCCCTGCCTTGCCCAGGGAGCTCCACGGCCCCGCCTGAGCCCCGCGCTGGGGCTCCTGGCTCCCCCCATGGCACCAGCACCGCCAGCAGCACCCGGGAGCCTTTGGGGACAAGTTCTTCCTGGCGCTGTCACACGTGTGCGTGCAGCACACGCGCCACACCTCTGCTGCTCCGACCTGGGCTGGATGTTACAGACCCCCAGAGACCGCCCGCTCGGCCCTCGGGAACTCTGACCCCCCTGGTCAGGACAGGGAGGGGGGCCGCTCTGTCAGGGGACGTGTTTCTGCTGTCTAGCGAGGGAGAAAAGTAATGTGTGTAAAAAAATTCAATAAATCTTCTCCCCACGGCAGCAGCTTCCCTTCTTTTTCACATTGTTTAGGCAGCGATAAACCGGCATGCAGCGGATAAATAATTAATTAAAGGAATGTGTCTTTCACAGGTCCCGGCCCCTCCTGGTTGTCACAGGGGCTGTTCTTCACACGCCTGTTCCATACTCACTGCCCGTTCTTCCTCTTCCATCCACCCTTTGACAAATGTACCTTCTAATTTTCCTCGGGGTGATTTCCCTGGAATTCCTCACCACGGGCGAGCGGATCCCAGTGGGAATTACAGCTGCTGTTTGCAGATCGCGCTGTGGACCTGTGCTGGGGGCAGCGGCCACCAAAGGCAACCCCCACCCCGTGGGGAGCGAGCTGGGCGCTCCTCAGGCCCCCCCAGCCCGGCACACGGGCTCCTCTCCCCGCTCTGTCTCCTCCGTCCCCTCTTTCCCTCTTCCGTCCTTCCCTTAGCCCTCGCTTCTCCTCTGTCTCTTCCCCCCTCTCTGTCCCTGCTCACATATTTCCTTCACCCCCCCCCCACTACCGCATTCTCCCAGCACCAGAGCGAAATGCGGGAAGAATTTCTTCACCGTGAGGGCTGTCGGGCACGGGGACAGGCTGCTCAGGGAGGTGGTGGCGTCCCTACCCTGGGTTATTTAAAAGACGCGTAGACGTGGCGCTCAGGATGAGGTTCAGTGGTGAGCTCGCCAGTGTTGGGTTCACAGCCAGGCTCGGTGAGCTTAAAGGTTTTTTCCAACCGGAATGATTCTGATTCTTTAATTCTCTATTGCTGTCTTGCACCCAGTAAGGGAACGCTACTGCTGGTACTTGAAGTGATTTTATTTTTTTTTTTTCTTTTTTTGAGAAGGCAAAACTGTCTCTTGTGTTGTGGTTGAACCCCAGTTGGCAACTAAGCACCTTCCGCCCCCCAGCAGGATGGGGAAAGAGAATTGGAAAGGGAAAAGTGAGAAAAGTGTTTGGTTGAGATAAGAACGTATAATAACAGAACTAAAATGAAAATAATAAATTCTCGTGACAAGGAAAAATTAGCAGAGAGATGGAAATGAAGAAGGAAAATCGATGGCAGTGAAACCAACTGCTGGCCACCAAGCAACTGGTGCCCAGTCAAAACCAGCCCAGCTCCCCAGTACAGGAGAGGATTCTGGTGCTGAGACAGATGGCGAAGTGCCAGCTTGCTGCGTGGGTGCCTTTTTGTGCCCTGAGATGCCTGGGGAGGGGCAGGATGGGCTGAAGCTTCCCTCCTCCTCCTCCTCTCCGGGCTTTGTGGTCTCGCGGGACAACCTGGGTGCGGGAGTGTGGCCCTGGGCGCAGTGGCAGAGGGACACTGCTCGGGGGGGTCCCTGTGGGAAGGACACCATGGGACTGGGCTTGTTGCTCCAGCTTGATTTAAGAAAAAGGTTTATTGAAGTACGGCCGTTCCCCTGAGAACTGCACCTCTCCGGGGCTCATCGGGTGCAGCAGCACAGCGACCGCAGGCTCCATCCTGACCTTGGCTTCTGCTTTAGAGCTGTCAGGATGAGGATGGTCTGAGCTGCCAGGGACCTGATCGACAACTCAACATCATTGCCCAAGGACTGGAGGGCTGCAAGAGAAGGAAAGAGAGCAGCGGTGACCCCCCTGCCCGCAGAGACCCCAGGAGCCCAGGCTCTGTCCCCTGCCCCACCAGCCCCCGCCAGCACAGCACTGCCCCTACTCACCACTGTGGCAGATCTCCCAGAGCTTCTCCCACCTGAGGATCCTCCAATGCCGCACAGCAAGACCTGGGGCACAGAGCACCAGTCAGAGCTCTGCTCCCCCTGGGCAGGGCTGTCCTCCAGCAAGGACAGCACCTGAGGGCGCTGGGATCCAGCAAGAGCCCCAGCGAGCCCCACCAGTGGGGACTGGGGCCAGGAGGCCAGAAAGAGGGGACTCACCGATGAACCTGACGGCCTCCTCTCGCATGGTGGCCTGAGGGTCCTTCAGGTAGGGCAGGCTCTGGAGCAGATACTCGTCCACGCTGTTCCTCCTGTGCGTTACCTGAGGGAGCACGAGAGCACGGGGCTGGTACGGACCCTCCGCAGCCATCCGGACCAGTCCCTCCTGCCAGCACCCCCGCTCCCTCCCAGTGACTCCCGCCTCCCAGACAGGAGCACCGTGGGGCTGAGGGCCAGAGAGAGCCGCAGGCAGAGGGGGCTGGGGGTGCTGAGACCCTTCCGTCCCGCTGCCAGGGCCCAGCTGGGCCGGGCTGTCCTGGAGAAGAGCCCCTGGGGGCTGCGTGCTGGAGGGCAGGGAAGGATGATGCACCCTGAGGGTTTGGGATTGTCCTTACCAAGCACTCTCTAATCAGGTGTGTCTGCTCTGTCTCGGCCAGGGAGCTGAGCCTCCTCCAGCCCAGGAACACTGCACAGGCGCGGAGGGTGTCCCAGGAAGCCTGTGGAGAAGCAGAGGCTGGGAGATGGCACCAGAGCCCAGGGAAGGAGACCTGGCATCCTCCTGCTCGGGGCCTGGCACAGCCCTGGGGGACAGGGATGGGGGCTCAAAGCACACAAGGCCCGTGGGGACTCGGGTGCTCGGTGGCCACAGGCCGCTGCTGAGCAGGGAAATGTCTGTGCCCAGTTCCCCAGCCCTGCTGGTGCTTGGGGCTGCAGGGACCCTTCCTCTGGGCTAGGGGGGCCCACCTCCCCCTCCAGCTCTGCAGCACTGGGACCAGCGCAGCGGGACCTGCAGTGACACCTATTCCCATTGTCCCTCATGCCCACGCCTCCCCCGTGGTGTCAGCACACCCTTCCCCGCAACACCAATCGCTGGTCACCGCACCTTGGCCACGCTCTCCATCTGCTCGTTGGTGTGGAAGAAGAGAGGCAGCAACACCCCCTGCACTTTCTTCACCATTTTCTTCCTATTTCTCCACCCCGCTGTCTTCATCACATCTTTGAAGAGGCAGATGGAGAGATCCCGCACCCGGCTGGACTCCTGGCAGGGAGGAGGACAGAGGGAGCTCAGCACCAGCCGCTCCTCGCCCACAGGGAGCAGGGGCGTTAGCGTGGCTGGGGGAGAGGAGCTGCTCCGGGGTCGGATCCTGAACGCAGGAGCCGTTGGCCGGACATGCAGCTGTGGCTCAACTGCCCCGGAGCCCTGAAAGGCCCCGGAAGAGGAGCGGGGAGGGGAAGAGCCCCAAAAGGCTACACAAGAGGAGTAAGGGGGGGACCCCTGCCCAGAAGCTTCCCGCATGGCCACACTGAAGGGCACCCATCCTGCAGCCATCGCCTCGGCTCAGGCTCCCATGGCAGCCTTACATCATCGAAGAGGGGCAGGAGCTTCTCCGCCAGGCTCAGGGAGATGAGGTTGGCCTCTTCCCTCTTCATGTGACGCAGCACGTTGATGGACAGCACCAGAATCTTTGTCTTGACTTCGCCATCAGCATCTATCAGGGTCTCCAGTACATCAGGGAGCAGCACCGGGAGCTTTCTGGCCTGTACGAAACACAGCGTTGCCTTTTTGTGAAGTGGTGAAAGACCCCCCACCGCCCCAGCCCCCACCTGCCGAGGCGGCTCCCCTTGCCGACCCCCCACTCACCGTTCCAGGTGTTTGCGACAGCGTGATGAGGCCCGTGAGCACCAGCGAGAGCATCACTGGGCTGGGATGCCTCAGGTACCTCTGGGCTTTGTAGAGGGCAGCAAACTCCTTCCTGTCAATGTTAGCGCAGGCCAGGAGCTAAAATGGAGACAGTGGTGAGAGACCAGCAGAGCTGCAGGGCTCCCTCCCCCGCACCAGCACGGTCCATGGCAAGGGTCCCCTCTCCCCCTGAAGCCAGCTCAGAGTCCCCACCTCTCTGACCCAGGACCAGCAAGCGGCTTGACTCTGGATTCTGCCCCTTCCCAGGGTCTCCAGGCTGCGGAGCTGGGCAGGGGGATGCAGGCAGGGGGGAGGGCAGAGCGCTGCCTGTGCCGGGACAGGCTTGGTGGACCCAAACAGCATGGGGTGGGCCCGAGCGTGTGGCACGGGGGTCTGGCTGGTGCTGAGCAGGGAGGAGGAGGAGGAGGAGGACGAAGGCAGAGCGGTGGGGCTGGGTGTGGGTCACTCACCGCCAAGGGGTAGATGCAGGCGTCATCCGTGGCAGAGCTGAACACCCTGCACAGCCGCCGGTCCTGCAGCACGCCGAGCAGCTCCGACATGACTCTCTGCAGAGCCCAGGGCACCGAGATCGTCACCTCCCACATGGCCATGGCCGCCCTGCAGAGCCAGAGCCAACTCGGTCAGCAGAGCTGCCTCGGCCCCTCCGGACCCCGGTCCTGCCCACCCCCTCATTTCGCGGTGCCCGGGGAGGCCGAGGGGGGTGAGGTTCTGTTCCCATGGGGCAGGGGCTCTGCTTGGGCCGGCTCTGGCTGCAGGGGGAAGCGTGGTGGGATGGAGAGCCCTGCTCCTCGGGGATATCCCGCAGTTCTCCGTGGCCTGGCAGCCAGAGAGTCTCTGGGCCACTCTCCCCGTGGGCAACAAGCCCTCGAGGCTGTCAGGGCTGGTACCTGTCACACGTTGGAGCGATGCTCAGAAGGCCCCTGACCATCTCCCTGGGGCTCCAGTCTGTCAGCAGCAGCAGCAGTGAGTCCAGGCTGCGCCGGGCCGGCTCCTCGCGGATCTGCTCCATGTTTTTGTGGATGTGTCTCAGGATTTTTGGCACCTGGAGAGGACACTGGTGAGGATGGTGCTGCCCTTCCCACCCCTCCCTGCTGCCTTGACATGGCTTTGGGTGCCCGAGAGCGCCCAGTTGGGGCAGGAGGGAAGATCAAGATTTGACACGTCTTGACATGGAAGGACAATCCAGCCACGGGGCACTTACGTCCGTCAGCCAGGACACGGGGTCTGTCATGGCCATGTCCACGATGTCACTGCCCATCAGACTGTAGTGGACATCGTCTGCCGTCAAGGCCTCGATGGCCACGAGGAGCACGTCCGTCTTCTGAGAAGGCCGGACGTATTCGCCAAACGCCTACAGGAGGAAGGACGGGGGAAGACGTGTCACGCTGAGCTTGGCTGAGCAGCTCGACCCCCTCTGGGTCCCTTTGCTCACACAAGCCGATGCCACGGACAAGGGTCCCGGCGAGGGGGGAGCTCGTTACCTTTCTCATGTCGCTGCAGTCAAGCAAAGAAAGCAACCAGGCGCCGTCAGAATCCCATCCTGCTTCCTCTGGAATCTCCTCTGGCAGCGTCTCGTCTACACGGAATCACAGCAGAGTCGGTAAGACAACGGCCATCTTGGCCAACCAGCCTCCCAAGGGGTGAAAAGAGCTTGACATGGGGGAAATGGGGTCCTGGCGTCAGCCCCTCACTCACCGATCCACAGTGGCTGGACCGGGGACACCTCCCAGGGCTCCGGCAGAGAGCTGCTCTCCTGGGGAGCCCCCACCTCCTCCCAAACCACCCTGGGGCTGCTGGGGCGTCTCTCTGCCATCCTCAGAAATGGTTGAGGGACAGTGGGGGGGTTCAGCTTTAAGGAGCGATGGGAAAAGACGTGGGCTGTGCTCAGGAGTCTCCTCGCTGCGCCTCTGCCCTGTCCCTTTCCCGTCCTGTCAGACACTGCGGGGCTGCGCTGCTCAGATACTGTGCCGGGGGTGACACAAAGTGATGTCACAAAGGGGGGTCACATTGTGACGCGTCACCCAGGACGGGTGGGGCAGGGTTTCGCTGAGGGGGGTGGGGACCCAGCTCGCCACTGGGCCATGACTCCTCTCGGGGTGTCCCCAGGCCCCCATCACGTCCCCTCAGCACCTTCCTGTACCCCCTGGCTCGTCCCACAGGGTTCACACACCCCGGCACAGAGCCCGGACCTTCTGCTGCCATCCGACAGAAACCCTCCAGACTGCCCCAACTCTCCATTGCGGTCACCTGCAGCCTTTGCTTGCCCATGTCCAGTTCTCTCCCACACCGCCAGAGTAGGTTTAATCTGCTACACGAGGTTACTGGTTTCAGCTGGGATAGAGTTAATTTTCTCCAGCTGGGAGGGAGCACAGCCCCAGGGCTGTTTCGCAGTAGCGGGATCTTCGTTCTGTCGGGGTCACTGGCCAGGAGCGGGCTGTTGGTCGGTGGGTGGTGAGCAGTCGCCTTGTGCATCACCCGTTTGTACTTTCCTTTGGAGCAGACAAGGAGCTTTTGGCAGCTTTTTTCCCAAAGTGGAGGTGAACCCACTGCCCCGCAGCTCCAGACCTTCATGGGAAGCCCCAGCAGTGTTGGAGGACCCCAGCGGTGGCATCCCCAGGCCCTGCAGGTCACCCTGGGACGCTGGGCTGGGAGAGCCCATCAGCAGTGCCTGTGCCCAAGGGCCAGGCTCAGGGCTCTCTGGGATGCCACCAGCCCTCCAAAACGGGCCACATCTCCCCAGGGACATGGGCACAGGGGAGGTGGCCCCACAGACCGTCCCCAACCCATTCCTCTCTGCTCTCTCCTCCAGACCCCCCTGCTTCTGATGATGAAGACGACCTTGTCTTCTCCCGGGAAGACATCAAGAAGCAGGGGCTGCTCCTGATGGAATCCAACAAGAAACGTGGCAAGAAGTAGCGGCTGCTCCATGCACGAGAGCTCTGGGTGCCCCCGATCACCCCTTCTGCTCTGGATGCCCTCGACTACCCGTTGTGCTCTTTTTCTAAATACAGAAAATATTCTTAGACTGAATATAGCAGGTCTTTATTGTTCTTCCAAGCCCACAGCAGAGCTTCACAGGGAGCTCCTCGGTCCCTCCTGTGAAGCAGAAGCAGCGCAGTCTGTGTCTGTGTGTCCCTGGGCACAAACAGCTGCTAGACGGAGCAGCGAGACCCGGCCCGGGACACTCACGGGGTGGGGAAGGGTCTCCCCCCCGGCCCCGAGAGGCCCCAGGAGCTGTCCCCAGGGCTGCTGGTGCCCCCATACGCACCAGTAGACTGGGCAGGGGCCCTATCAGTGGGCACCCCCACCCCCCCAGGGCTCTGCTGGTGCCCCCTCGATGGAGACAAATCCACAATGAGCTGAAAGGCCACAGCCCTTATTTATTTCTTCCCTCTTTTCTTCTTTTGGTCCTTCTTGTTCTTCTCTGGTGTGGTGTGGTTTGAACTCAGCCAGCAGCCAATGGCCACATGGCCAGTTGTTTACTTCCCCCGACCCCAGTTTCACGTCCCGCTCCAGCGAGGGGGACAAGTGACTCAGATTCGCAAATCCCCAATTGGAGCGGACAACAAGTCTCCAAGTTCAAGCATTTATTAACTACCTACAATGCACTAATTGAACACATGATAATTGGCTAAGTACAGAGCAAGCTGTGGCAAGCAATATAATATGCTTTACATTTCTTAACAGAAAAAAAGGAAAAGAGGGAGATAGAGGGAATGGGGGAGTACAGATCAC